CCCCAAAACCCCAAAACCCCAAAACCCCAGAGAATTTTTACATTATTGAGAGAATATCTTGGTTGTAGTGGACCCGATTTTTTGGTGGCTGAGAGGGGTTTTGGGGGTGGTAAGGAGACTGGTCGGGTTTGGAGGGGGGAAGAGAGGGGATTTTAGGCATATTTTTGGCTAGATGGGGTTAGGATGGGGGATACTACGGCCGTTGTGGGTGATGTATGCGTTGAGAGAGTCTTTGATATGTGTCTTTGTTTGTAGTGAGCTTAGATCTGTTAAAAAGTTGTTCTTTAGCGTATTTTTAGGGTATTTTGAGTTTCGTAGAGTCTTTGAATAGCCAATCTCTCTTCCTCTTAATTCATGCTTTGTTGGAGTTGTTTGAGTGGGATTCTGATAAAGTTTACTTGAAGTGTTCAGATTAGGTGTCTATGATAATTCTACCAATTACTAGCGTTGTCATCTTCGGATCTGGTTCGATAACTCTCATTGATTTTCCTCTAACCGTGACACCCTTCTGAAGATGCCCTCTGAGTACTGAATTAAGTGTAATCTTATTCTAAAGCTATTAAATAATTTACTTCTTGATAGATCTATACTCTTTTTCTTATTTATGGTTAATGTGTGCATGCTCTTAGTTCCTTTTACGTTTCTTTATAATCTGGCTATATAAGATTTTAGAACAGACACTTACCTTGACCTGAGAGGATCAATAATCTCCAAACCTCCAAAAGCGGACTCTGATCTTGGAACTGAACTATCCTTTCTAAGCCAGAGATTTAGTCCCCTCCTTGCTGTGCTTGTTTTGTAAGACGGAAAATTGGATTCAAATTCGGGTTTTAGAAAACTCTTAGGCTTTTGATTATTCTTTGCCATAAGCTATGAATATATTAGAGAGTTTTTGGGAAATCTTACATGTTTGAGTCCATTTACAATATCAATATTAGGGCAAAAGTCTAAATAGGTCTTAAAGTTTAATACCTCTTGAGTTCTTTTCTTCCTCATTCTGACCATTTCCTGCAGTAAATCCTTTGAAAATAGCTTTAGAGCCCTGCTTGGCTGTTTTTCCAGAAGTTTTGGTTAGTCTAAATAATCCTTCTTTGCCTTACTTTTTATGCGAAGCTTTGCGCTCACTAGGTTTGTCTTCTAAATCTTTATGAAAATATTACCATTATAGTTCTGTCTAGTTGAGTTATATTTTATATGAGGGAATGCACCTAGAGCTTAGTTAGGAATTACTTGTCTTGAAGAAATTCATTTTAGGCCGAAGTGAGGTGATGTCTAGACATATAGGATCTATCCTCTCGATCTATATTGGTGAATAATAAGTACCTTAAAGCCCATCCCAAATCCAGAAGGGTTATCTGGATTGGGGACAGGGTTAAACTTTGATTTATTGTAAACAGAAATTCTGTGGCTCATATCCTTTTCTTTTAAGCTCTTGTTCTTCTGAAGAGTTAATGGAAGTAATACTTTCATGGCAATTTTTCTGTGAATAAATTAGATAAACGGAGTTTCAGATATCTTACTTGGCAATTTTAAGTCGTTCATTGAAACCAGAGAGCGATTTTATGCTAAGAGATGTAAATTTGGCCTTTTTGCGCTTGAGATCTTGGCAAATTTGAGGTTTATTTTAGCTGAGGTTTGGTATCCATTGAATTTTTCAAAGGATATTGGTTTTCTATATTTTTTAGGCTAGTGAAACTCTAATAATCCAAATCTCATTGAATAATATTGTATTCTTTTATTCCTTTCATTCTAGCATAAAATTATCATGCTATTGCTTAAGATGCAAGCAATTATGCCCTAAATGGCTAATTAAAGTTAAGGTTCTTTCATAAACTTGACATATTCTTACCAGGAGATGGGATCAACATCTATAAAAAGTATTAATTTCACATAAATCTTGAAAAGCCTAGAAATTAAAAGAATCCTAAAGTTCCTAGAAGTAAAGTCAGAATTTATTGATGAGTTTATTACCTTTTTAGGAGCCTGGAAAGAATCTGTGTAATCACTCGGAGAATTTGAAGTGTTCAATCTGTATTAAAATTAGATAGCTTCTAAATTAGCTTACTGTAAGAATTATCAATTATTTTTATTATTTTAACCCAAATTTTAATGTTATATTTCAAGCCATAAATTTAGAAAATTCTGCATTTAATCTATTTGTAATCTATTGTGCATTAGCGATTTTAAACCTATTATTATTTTCCAAAAATTGTCCTAATTAACTCTTCAAAGCTCCTCAAATTTAGTTGAATTTCCCTTCACCATGCCTGTTAGTCCTTTTTATCACTAAATTATCCAAATTTCATTGAGTTCTGTTCTTTACTACTTAGTATAACCAAATATGACTTATAAGAACCAATCATGGCTCTGTCAAAAATGGCTTACTTCTTTGGGACAAGATTATTGTACACATGTGCAAATTGTATGGTGTCAGGCCCATGGAGAGAAATGCTCTTTTTGTGTCTCATTTTAGAAGTTATTTTATATAAATATTTAGGATTAAATTAGTTTAGGGGTTTTGGGGTTTTGGGGTTTTGGGG